CTTTATGTTTAATACCAATTTTTTTATGTTTGGTGGTGGTGTCTTGTCCATTTTTTTTTTCAAGGAAAGGGGGGGGGGGGTATCATTGTTCCGCTAGTTGGCCACATTTCAGAGTTCCCTGTAGGCCTTCACAGTTACCTAGCGGACCCACGACGTACTTCGCTCTATAGGGCAGTCCCTTACTTGTGCTGCTTCTCCCGCCTGCCATGTAGAGGAGGGGTTGGACTTCTAATAAAGTTTAATAACAAATTTTAAAAGTTTTAGAACCACGCTTTAATCTAAAATAACATTTTCGATTTTAATTAAATACTTTATTTGAGAGAACCATAAAATAGTTTTATGGCAATTAATGAATATTAAATGATTTCCTGATACACTGCTAGACATTGAAAATGGAACACCAGAAATAGTGGCCAGAAAGTGATGAAACTCGGCAGACAGAGAGAGACAGGGACGAACAATAAGTGATCTTTATTTCAAAATGATAGTCATAATACAGAGCGAGAACGGCGTCGGCTTAGTAGCAAGTAGGACCACCGCGAACGGCGATGCACGCAGCAACACGTCTAGGTAGAGAGTCAATCAGAGTACGGATGGCGTCCTGAGGGATGGCTCTCCATTCCCTCTCAACCATTTGTCACAGTTCGTTTTCTGAACGCGGCTGTGGCAAGGCATGCAAACGGCGTCCAATGATGTCCCAGACGTGCTCGATTGGTGAGAGATCAGGAGAGTACGGTGGCCAGGGAAGCATCTGTACATCTTGCAGAGCTTGTTGGCTAATGCGAGCAGTGTGCGGTCGGGCGTTATCCTGCTGATAAAGGGCATTGGGTACCCCCTGAAGATAGGGGAGTGTCACCGGTCGCAGCACATCATCAACGTATCGTTGGGCCGTCATAGTGCCCTGAATACGAAGTAAAGGTGACCTGGAATCATACGCGATTGCGCCCCAAACCATGATTCCACGTTGTCGCACGGTGGGGCGTTCCACAATTGCTGCCGGATTGGACCTTTCTCCACGTCGACGCCACACGCGTACACGGCGACTATCACTGGACAAGCAGAAACGCGACTCATCTGAGAACACGACCCTGTGCCATTCCGTCATCCACGTCGATCTAGCCCGGCACCATTCCAAACGTTGGCGCCTATTCAGTGGGGTCAATGGCAGTCTTCTTAGCGGACGGCATGAGTGCAAGCCATTAGCAACCAATCGACGGGAAATGGTTCTGGTCGAGATGGAATGATCTAGGGTGTCTTGCACATGTTGCAGGATGGCGGTACAAGTGGCTTGTGGGGCCGTCACTGCTTGTCGAAGGATACGCCGATCCACACGTGCTGACGTCACTCTGGTTGCACCGACATTATTAAATTGCCACATTTCCTTGTTCCAACCATCTTCTCCACAGTCGGTGCACCTTGGGCGCACCAAGGTGTGTATCAGCTGCGATTTGACGTATGGACCAACCTGCCCTTTTCAGTCCGATCACCATGCCCCTCGTAAAAGCGTCTGTCTGCTTGAACTGCCTCTGTTTACGATCTGTTATTACACGTGTCTTTTGACACAAGAACAAAATTTTTACAATGATTTTCCTTGAAGAAATAACGACACGAATACTGTCCTTTCTGCAAGTTCCTTCCCTTATATCTTACTCCATGTGCGCACGAGAGCTGCGCATTTTACATCATTTGCATAACTCGGTTAGGCGCGTCTACCCTGAAATCTGCATAATTTTCTGGCCACTATTTCTTGGTGTTCCATTTTCAATGTCACGCAGTGTATAATTTATTTATTTTAAATTTAATATTTAAACAGATGTGCCTTTTCTCATAATTTAAACAGATGCTCATATAACTTTATTTAGTATGAAGGTACTTTGATTTGAATGGATATATATATATATCTATATATATAGATGGAAAATTTGCTGGGAGGAAATTGATCCATAGAAGCATAAGGCAACTCTCCAGTCAAAATAAACGTTAATAAACGTCATGGCGTCAGATTTTGGACGTTAATTTCAGGAAGAGGGGCCCTATGCTTCTATATATATATATATATACTAGCGGATGTGTACCCGGCTTCGCCCAGGTGAAAGTTTGCCTAACGAATATTATTGATAATAATATTCCGAACACACAGAATATTATGATAATAATGATAATAATATTATTTACATTATTATATATTTATATAATACTAGCGGATGTACCCGGCTTCGCCCGGGTTTTACCTGAGTAAAGGTTTGTCTAACAAACATTTGTTAAAACAATTCTCTATAAACTTATAAAAAATAATAATAGATATATTTTGATAATTTGAAACTCGTAAATTTGAATCTCTCGATAAAGTGAACATTTTTCCCGGTCCCTGTGTGCCGTGTCATCCTGAATTTTGTCTTTCCTAATTTTCTACATTACAAAATCATCGTTTTATCTACTGAACATTTTTCCCGGTCCCTTGAAAAATACTCGATAAGTTGAATAAAATCAATATTAATTGGTTCCCTCGGTAATTGGAAGTTAAAGGAATAGTATCTTCGCCTTGAATTGTATCATTATTCTTGTCTCAAATAAATTGCCGTGTCATCCTGAGATAATCTTACTTTTGATAAATAATCTTCAAGATAATAAACTTAGTGATAATAAAACTTGTAGATAAAAAACTTGTTATCATCGTCGCAATGGTGGCGCTGCTTGCGAGTTAAATCTACAAATCTGCAAATAACTCTAAGGATATTCAAGATATTCAAGAAATTATTTTTCAGAAACCTTCCCAGTACTATACTAAATAATTTCCCAAAGTTTCATGACGTTCCAATGAGTGGTTTGGTCAGGCATAAAGGACAGACAGACAGACACACACACACACATACATTCATTTTTATATATATAGATACTAGCGGACGTACCCAGCTTCGCCCGGGTTTTACCTGAGTAAAGGTTTTTCTAACGAATCTCTCGATAAAGTGAACATTTTTTCCCGGTCCCTTGAAAAATACTCGATAAGTTGAATAAAATCAATATTAATTGGTTCCTTCAGTAATTGGAAGTTAAAGGAATAGTATCTTGCCTTGGAATTGTATCATTATTCTTGTATGGATGTACCCGGCTTCGCCCGGGTTTTACCCGAGTAAAGGTTTGTCTAACAAATCTCTTGATAAAGTAAAAATTTTCCCCCGGTCCCTTGAAAAATATTCGATAAGTTGAATAAAATCAATATTAATTGGTTCCTTAGGTAATTGGAAGTTAAAGGAATAGTAACGCTTTTCGGTTTTACATTAAAAAAAGAGACATTAACCTTTTTAGTTTTTTTGAATAGCCTATATGTTAAACAAATTCTTTAGCCACCTTCATGCAAGATTTCATAATGATTGATTCTATAGATTTTGCGCAACGCGATAACAAACATCGATTTTGGATTTAATTTTTATAGATATAAAGGAAAAGGAAAGGATAAAGGAAAGGAAAAGGAAAGAAAGGAAGGATATAAAATATATTTTTAGAACAAACATAACCACTGTCTCTACTGAATAGATTTTTTAAAAATATATATATAAATTAAAATATCTAGAGATATACTACATGATCTTAGCCAAAAGGCCGAAAAACGATATTTTATATATAGAGATGACCTGGCTTCGTTTGTTTTCTGCTCGAGTAAATGTTTCGCTGGTAGAATTTTGTTCCTGCCTACTAAAAATTATTATCTTGCTCCGCCCGTGGACTGCTTTAGTGAATATTCTCCTCAAAAATTTTGTTTATGTCAATCAAGCATGATACAGCAATATTGTCATTATCATTTCTGACTAAAAAAAAATATTGTTGCTCAGTACCTGGTTAATTATAATTTTTCTTGGTTAAAGCGCGACAAAAAACTCTTCCAGATCTACTCTCTGTCCTGTTCAAATATAAGCGAGATTAGTTACATATTGAGGGCGTGCATAGCCGACAAACATATATATATATATATGTTCCCGGCGGTTTTTACCCGAGTAAAAGTTTGTCTAACGAACATTTGTTAAAACGATTCTAGCAAACATCCAATCCCTACTGAATCTATACTTGTCTATACTCTCGATAATAGAGATAGACTAGCCGAATGACCCGGGCAACGCCCGGGTTTTACCCGATTAAATGCTTTTATTCAAATACTATTCGTTACTATTATAAATTGGCGCCGTGGATGTCATTCTTGAATTCTCTAGACGAATGACCCAGCTTCGCCCGAGAATTACCCCGAGTGCAATTTCCTTCATACTGAAAGTAAATCAATAATAAATAGTAGAAGTGCCATAGAATAGCAACACAGAAGTAACACATAAACCACAGGCAAAAAGTGTGTGTAATGGCAAAAATTGTATTATATTAGTGTTTAGGTATTTAATTTAATTATTTTTTGCAATGAATTTAGTTGTTTCAAAATCAATATAGTTCAAATAGATGGCAGCTTTTCCACCCAACCCCCGAGGTACCCGCCCCAACGCACTAACCCTTGAAATTGCCTGAGTTGAGTAAGTGACTACGATGGATCTTGACTGCGATGCCCATCTTCTCAGTAAAAATAAGAAAAAATAGGTTTATAAAAAATATTAATCCAAAATACTGGCATGTAAATATTTTTCTGTAAAAAATAAAGAGCACATGGAAATTAGGCAGACATATGTGTTTGCTAGTGACTGCGACTGCATTTTAAATGATTTAAAAAAAGAGAGATAAAAACAAAGGTCAGAAAAAAATAATAAAAAATAAGAAAGTGATTATTTAGATACAGTAACGCTTAATTTGTAACGGTTTTTTTTTTTTTGCATTGTGTGCACTTACCGTAACTTGACATGTGACTTAACGTGACAGAATTGATGACTGATACTTGTATATATGATTATGTTAGCATAATGAATTAGTCAGTATTCCCATGGTCTCCAGCAAAGAGGTGTGAATTGACTTTTTGAAAATATACATAATTATAAAGATAGAAGCTTCTATAGAAATAACTAAAATAAGCCGAAATAGCTCAGTTGGGAGAGCGTTAGACTGAAGATCTAAAGGTCCCTGGTTCGATCCCGGGTTTTGGTATCCTTTTTTAATTTTTTAAAACGATGACAGACTTGTGTATATATGATTTTTAAATTTTTACTTACCGTAACTTGACACGTGACTTAACGTGACAGAATTGTTGATGACTCTGATAACTGTATACAGTGGTACCTCGACATACGAGGTTAATTCGTTCCGCAACCTTGCTCGTATCTTGAATTACTCGTATCTCGAAGCAAATTTCCCCATACAAAATTCCCATTTAAAATAACAGATTAATATCTTCAACACTACCGAACTGAACTCGTATCTCGAATTTCGCTCGTAATTCAAAGCAAAAAATCACTTGCTCGTCGGCTCGTATCTCGAAAAACTCGTATGTTGGGGCGCTCGTATGTCGAGGTACCACTGTATATTAATAATATAGAGGCGAATGACCCGGCTTCGCCCGAGAAAGCCCTTGGGTGCAATTTCCTTCATACTAAAAGTATATCAATAATAAATATTAGAAGTGCCATAGAATAGCAATACAGAAGTAACACATAAACTACAGGAAAAAAGTGTGTGTGATGGCAAAAATTGTATTATATTAGTGTTTAGGTATTTGATTTAATTAATATAGTTGATATAATAATATCTATATTAATAAAATGCAAATTTCATAAGTGTTGTTCGCTAAAAACTTTCGTTACAATGCATCAATTTCGACCAAATTTTCAACATTTATGTAAAACGAGATGGAGCAGGTTTTGCTTAACATCAAAATATTTTTCCTAACTTTAACATGCGTAACTTCGCTGTTATCGATTAAATACAAAAAAAAAATCAACAGAGTTAATTTTATTTATATACTAGCCGAATGACCCGGGCAACGCCCGGGTTTTACCCGATTAAATGTTTTTATTCAAATACTATTCGTTACAATTATAAATTGGCGCCGTGGATGTCACTCTTGTGAAACGTCCCGCTCCAAACTTTCTGTCTGAGAAGCGATATTTTTATAGAAAGATGATCAGGCTTTTGTTTTCTGCTCGAATGAATGTTTTTCTGTTAGAATTTTGTTCCTGCGTACAAAATAATGAACTGGTTTCACCCGTGGTCTCTGCTTTTTGGAATTTTTCCCGATTAAATTTTGTATCTGATAATCAAACATGATACAGCAATATCGTCATCATCATTTTCTGACTAAAAATATATAGTTTTAATAATTGATTTATATATTTTTAAAAATAGCCTATTGTCTTCCCCGTATTTTTTTACCTATGTATGGAAATTTTGGGTTGAATTAGTGAGCTACTGCGAATTTGTATACCGGACATACAAACCAACAAACAAACAAACAAACAGACAAACATTCATTTTTATATATATAGAAGATATAGTTTTAAAAATTGTAAAAAAAAAAAAAATGCATCGGCTGGGAATCGAACCCGGGCCGCCCGCGTGGCAGGCGAGCATTCTACCACTGAACCACCAATGCTTATAAAAAATGGCCATATTTAGGTATTCATTCCATTCCGGATTAGTCCGCGTAAAAAAAAGTTCTTCAAATGAAAAAAAGAAATAGCAAAAAATACTAATCAAAATGCAGCCGAAAATTTTTTTCAGGTTTATAAAAAGCGACATGCAAAATTTGGTACCAATTGGTTCAGTAGTTTTTGAGTTTATCGCGAAACAGACAGACAGACATTGACTTTTATATATAGAGAGATAGATAGATAATACAGAGATAATACGAGGGCCATCCAATAAATAAGTTTCCCTATTTTTTTTTCTGCAAACGAAACGTTGTAAAAATTAGTTAGTATGGAATAAATGGTCACTAGGATGCGTTGGAGGCTGGTGACCTTCAAAATCACGCTACTCGTACGCGCAAGTCCGTAGCGCTTCAGTTTCCATGGAGCTACCACTGGTGAACGTGTCCACTTGCGAACTCCGTTCTGTAATTCGTTTTTTCACGGCGAAAAATGAAACTGCGGTCAATATTCATCGCAGTTTAGTGTCAGTGTATGGTGAAGAATGTATGAGCATCCAAATGGTTCGTCGATGGCGTTCATGGTTCTTAGAAGGACGGCAAAACGTGCATGATGACGAGCGAAGCGGCAGGCCCGTTACTGCTACGGACAATGCAGCCGTTGCTGCTGTTCGGAATGTGGTGGAAGCAGATCGCCGCGTCACAATTGACGAAATAATGATTCGACTGCCTCCTGGAATCGAAATTGGACGCTCTTCGATTGTAACAATCATGTCAGATATTTTGAATTTTCGCAAAGTCTGCGCAAGATGGGTCCCGCGTTTGCTCTTGGAAAATCACAAGCAACAACGGATGGAGGCAGCCCGAGCTTTCCTGGAAATGCATCAAAGAGATGGAGATCAACTGTTTTCCCGTATTGTCACTGGAGATGAAAGCTGGGTGCATCATTCAACTCCAGAAACAAAACGACAAAGCATGGTGTGGAAGAAGCCTGAGGAAAGTGCACCAAAAAAGGCGAAGGTCACAATCTCTGCAGGCAGAGTTATGGCTATGGAAAACTTCAAATGGGAAATTTTCACACATCCACCTTATTCTCTGGAACTTGCCCCAAGCGACTTCCATCTTTTTCCAGCACTCAAGTGGCACCTTGGAGGCAAGCACTTTGCGAATGATGACGAGGTGCAGGCGGAGGCGAACCACTGGCTACGAAGACAGGACACGGCTTGGTACAACAGTGATATCAAAAAATTGCTACAACGGTACCAAAAATGTTTGGACAGAAATGGTGATTATTTAGAGAAGTAGTCTATGAGTTGTATAATGAAAATAAAATAACTGCATAATTGTAAATAATGTGGTTTATTTGTTAAAAAATAGGGAAACTTTTATTTATTGGAAGGCCCTCGTAAATCAGAGTGCTGAAAATATAACAGATTAATTAATATTTATCCTTATTTTTCCAAAAAAAAAAAAAAAAGGTTTTTCAAACTAATAATTAGATAGAAACCTTTCTGGTAGTATATTAAACAATTTATCAAAGTTAAATTGCGATGAAATGATTAGTTTGGTCCAGCATAAAGAAGAGGCATATAATCATTTTTTTCTATATGCATGATAATATTTAATGCTGATTGTTGAATTATCTATATATAAATATACTAGACGAATGGCCCGGGCAACGCCCAGGTTTTACCCGAGTGCGTATATATTTTAAAAATGTTTTAATTAAAATACTATTCGTTACAATTATAAATTGGCGCCGTGGATGTCTCTTTTGTGAAACGTCCCGCCCCAAACTGTGTGTGTCTTGAAAATATAAAAATAAAAATGTGAACGGAAAAATATGTCCAGGGTAGCCTAGTGGTCATGGCATCTGCCCGGTAAGCGGAAGGTCGTGGGTTCGATTCCCATCCATTGACACTTTTTTTATTTTATCCATTCTGACCAAAATCTATCCGTGAACTTCACACAGACAAAACAAGGCAATTATATAAGTAGATAATCCAAATTGTGCCTTATCACACACTAATTTTTTATTTGGCCTTATTACCTTGTGTTTATAATCTATGACGTAATGCCGGCGGCGCGCGCCCGTTGGCTGCCGGCGAGCACGTGACCTCCCTGTGCGCGCGCATCCGTGACAGAGGCGGCTGATGAGGAATGAGGAAAGACGGTCGTGACTATATATATATATAATAATATAATTATTATTATTATTATCATTAGATAATGATAATGATCATAATGATGATGCGCGCGCATCCGTGACTGAGGCCGATGAGGAAAGACGGTCGTGACTATATATATTAATAATTGAATCTCTGTCTGTCTGTACTCTATAGATTCAAAAACCATACATCCAATCGCCGTGAAATTTTGGGATATTATTAGGTATATCCCCGGGAAGGTTTTCGAAAAATAATTTCTTGAATATCTTGAATATCCTTAGAGTTATTTGCAGATTTGTAGATTTAACTCGCAAGCAGCGCCCCCTAGAGGGGGATAACAAGTTTTTCTATCTATAAGTTTTATTATCACTAAGTTTATTATCTTAAAGATTATTTATCAAAAGTAAGATTTTTTACCTATTAATTACGCACAAGTCAAAGTTAGTTTTATCATTTATCTACAATATATATATTGGGAGAATAGATAAAATGATGATTTTGTAATGTAGAAAATTAGGAAAGACAAAATTCAGGATGACACGGCAATTTATTTGAAACAAAAATAATGATACAATTCCAAGGCATGATACTATTCCTTTAACTTCTAATTACCGAGGGATTTTATTAAACTTATCGAGTATTTTTCAAGGGACCGGGAAAAAATGTTCACTTTATCGAGAGATTCAAATTTACGAGTTTCAAATTATCAAAATATATATATTTTTTAAATAAGTTTATAGAGAAATGTTTTAACAAATGTTCGTTAGACAAACCTTTACTCGGGTAAAAACCGGGCGAAGCCGGGTACATCCGCCAGTAACAGATAAATTTGAATATTTATCTTGATTATTTTTAGGCGAAAAGTTATTTCAAAAATTTTATTTGCTAGAAACCTTCCCAGTACGATACTAAATAACTTCTTAAAGTTTCATGGCGTTCCAATGAGTGGTTTGGTCAGGCATAAGGGACAAACACACACACATACATTCATTTTTATATATATAGATTAAAAGAACGATTTATCAGGGAATAAAATAATCAGCCGAGTACTTTTTTATTTTTTTGTTCGAGAAATTTATTTTTAAACAAACGTAGCTTCAGCCAATATTGCAATGGAATTTTTAATGGAACAACGGGTATGTTCAAAATTTTGTTTCAAATTGAGTGAAAATCGGTTTCTTAAAGTTTGATAATTATTCAAAAAGCGTTCGGAAAAGAGGCTATTAAAAGAATGATGGTTTTTGAATGGTTTAAAAGATTTAAAGGTGTGGGGTCAGTATTTGATGAGCCAAGGTGCGGGTGACCACAGACTGTCCACATCACTGAAAAGATAAAGGTTTGAATCATGAAAAATAGTCCGATAATATCAGAGAGCTTTCATAAGCGACCAACGCACG